GAAAACCTGCTGGAGGATCAGCTATGGGTAGGTTCCTGGCCAATTGCACACAACAACGATAACATATGTGTGTATGTGCATACGCACACACCTTGCATTGTTGTTGTTGTGAAGGTGACCCTCCAGAGGAGATGAGATTACTTTCTTCCGTGGAGCAGCTGGAGAGTTTTAATCACATGACTTTGGATCGTCAGCACAACTCAGTTGTCCCAGAACCATTTGTTGAAGGGGCATCTGGAGTTCCCAAAAAAATCCCTGTTGTCCAATGTTTGGGCTTCCTTGGGAGAAGTTATATTTCTATGATTCTGTGGGCTTTTCTACTACCTTCATTCTCACTCCCACTCCCCATCCCCTCCATGATCGCATGGATCAAATGTTCCTACTTGTTGGTATATCTAATAATTTTGTGTTGAAAAGCAAACATTTAAGTTTACAAAGTGGTAGCTCTGAAAATTCGATTGCCCTCTCTCCACTAAGGGCTTGTTCTCGTCGGTATTTGTTGCTATTGCTTGTGCTTGGGTGGCTGCTATGTGCTTGTTTCTTTTGTAGCCTTCCTGGATTAATTCAGTAAAGTCTATTGTTTGCAATGAATGATGTCTCTGCTTGGTTAGCTTAATGTTCCATTAATGATTAAGCAGAAATTTCCTTAAACTAATAAATCTCCCATTCTTGGCCAAGAGAGAGAGAGAGAGAGAGAGAGTGTGTGTGTGTGTGTGTGTGTGTGTGTGTGTGTGTGTGTGTTGGGACTACCTTCTCTAGGTGGGGAGGTGGTTCCCTTTCTTCCAGAGCCTCCACTTCCTGCTTGCACAAATCTTCACAGTTAACCTGAGGTAGAGTAGAAACCCTCAAGTTCTTGCTGGGCATGCGCATAGCCCTGCACCTGACCTTCTAGAGTCCCGGAAACATGAGCAAGTTTTTCAAAGCCCCCTGTGGATCACATTTCCTAGTCTTTTATATTTTTTGATAGTTTCATCTTGACCCTAACTAGACTCACTGCCTCAGAATGCTGGATGCTAAATAGTACCCCCTGGTTGTTTCCCATAAACACCCTACTAATAGAGCTGTGGGGAGCTCTGGTGGCCAAGAGGTAAGGAGCTGCACTGCCATTCTTGAGACATGTAGTTCATATCCCCCAGCTGCTCCACAGGAGAAAGATGGGCAATCACATTTCATGCACTTTACAACCTCTGCATAACCACAGAGTGTCAGCTATGAGTGGGTTTCGACTCAATGGTGCACAACTGAGCAAGCTTTGGGTCAGGTCAAATAAAAGTAAGCCTGAGGATACAGGGGAACTTTCACACAGGTCACACAGCCTTTCTCGGATGATGGAGGTCATTTGGTAAGCTTCAAACCCATTCCATTCCCTTCCATTGGCTTCTGGGTCTTCACAGCTCCTGTAGTTGGAAGACTTTTTGTTCCCAAACCTATAAAAGAAGTGGAGAGGGAGGATTGGGAATAAGGCAAGTTAAAATGCCACAGAGTCACTGTCCTTAATGAGATTCCGCCATGGTGGCGTATAAGGAGTTGTAACTAACTCAAAGTCTGAGCCTTTCTGGCAGTTCAAATCCACCAGTAGCTCCTTGGAAGATAAATGAGTAATTTCCTCTCATAAGATTTACAGCCTTGAAAACTTAATGGAGGGTCAGCTATGAGTCCATGCCAATTCAACTGTAATAAGTTGTTTAGTTGAATTAAAATGTCCCTTGAACTACTGCAAGTGTTTTTGTATATTTCCAGAGTTCCAGCAGGAAAGGTTAAATGTGGTTATGTTTGTCAATATGCTCATTACTTTTATGAAGTGGATTTTCAGAACCCTTATCTCACCATTCCAGTGATGTTTCTTTCTAAGAAACATCTATAATATAATCACCACTGGGCCACTTGGCAGCATCAATATAGATGATGAAGAGATTGAAATTGTTAGCAGCTTCAGTTTGCTTGGTTCCACAATCATCACTCTTGATACCAAGAGCCAGGAAATTAAAAGATGAATTGCATTGGGAAAGTCTGCTGTCAGGGACCTCTCCAGAGTACTAAAGAGTAACGACAGCAGTCTGGAGACTAAGGTATACCTGATTCAGGCTTAAGTCTTTGTAATTACTTGCTATGTGTCAGAAACCTAGACATTGACTAGAAATGATAGAAAGAGAATTGATGTCTTTGAGCTACGGTGCTAGAGAAAAGTACTGAATATATAGTGGATTGTCAAGAGAACAAAGAGGTTTGTCTTAGGGCGAAACCAGGCTGCTCCTTAGAGGCAAGGATTCTGAAGTTTAATCTGACATTTTGGGGGCATGTTGCAAGAAGGGACCAGTCCTTGGAGAGGGACATCCTGCTTGGAAGGGTGGAGGGACAACACAAGAGAGGAAGACCCAGGATGAAATGTATTGACTCTGTGACTGGGGTGGTGGGGGTAGGTGTGTCAGAGACAATAAAGTTGGCTCAGGATAGAGCAGGTTTTAGGACTATTGTCCACAGGATTGCTATGAGTTGCAGGTGACTTGATGGTGCATAAAATAACAATATATAATATATATTATAGATATAATATGCATATATAATATAGATATCATCTATAATATTATATAATATGATATAAGAATAGAATAGAATAGATCTATATTTGTTTCCATCCCAAAGAAGGGCGACCCAACAGAGTGTGGAAACTATAGAGCAATATCATTGGTTTCAC